ATAAAGATAGGCTCGTACATTGCGACCTACATGGTGGCAATATATTAAAATCAAAGGGCAATTTATTTCAGATTTCAGATTTTGGCGTTTCTGGACCAGTTGGTAAAGAAAGAACAGTTGTTTACGGAATGCCTCCATTTATAGCACCTGAAGTACTAGAAAATAGGAATTACACGACAAAATCTGATATATACAGCATCGGCATGCTTATGTATTACGTAGCTGCCGGTCAAATTCCTTTTGAATGTAATAATCAAACGCTTAATTTAGATATTCTAAATGGATATCGGCCTTCAATTCCGAGTGGATTGCCACAAAATTTCCAACACGTGATGGAATTGTGTTGGGATCAAAATCCTGATAAGAGGCCATCAGCTGAGGACCTTTATTATTTTTTTTTAAGTGAATATGAAGCAGAATCGAAGAACCAAACTCCAAAAAATGTAACTTTTCCAAACAATGTAACTACAAATATTTATGAAGGCGAAAGCACCCTACATCCTACTATGCCTCAAAAAGCATCTTTAGGTAAGTTGTAAATATGTATCTTTATTTGTTTAAAATTTATTATACGTAGTATTGTGTTGCAACATTTGAATCGTTACACCATCTTACAGTCTTAAAGAGCATAAATTAGTCCTATTTTAATCGATTCAGCAGTATGATAAAGTATTAGTTTGTACAGCATTTGTACGACGTCTGTGCAATATCCTTCAGCCTCTGCACAGGAAAATAGTGAAATCTATTTTTTCTTTTTAAACTATACGACAACCTTATTTTTTAAAATTATACGACTATCATAAGTGTCAACTCAAAATTCAGAAGGATTTAGCGTTTAGGGCTAAACACATTCTAAACTACTTTCTAAAGTCCGAAATATTTCGCAAAAATAAAATCATTTCGCCTGGAAAAAATATTTCGGATTCGTCTAAAACGCTAGAAATAAGTAAATACATATATAGGGCATTGTGGCGAACTCACGTTCAATATATAAAATCAAGCAATCATTAAAAAGAGTAATTCGCCACAATATTTATATAACTTAAAAATTTATATATATTAACAAAGACGCTGCGCCCTTTGCTGTACAAATGCTGCACAAACTTTATAAAAACGCTGTAAGAGCTCTGTTCAGTCAACCCATTTTTTAATGTTTTATGACCTATGTTTGCAGAGCGAATAGGTACATTACGCAGTTATTAAAAATCCCAAAATGATTAAACTAATTTAAATTATCGTCTTACCATTCTCCTAGTATGCACTAGTGGTCTATCTAATTTAGAACGTGAGTTTTTTTTTTATTATTATTTAGTTCAAATAGTCAAAAAGCAAACCTTTTCATGTATTTTGTTCATTACGTACCGTATTATCCAATAATTGACCACCATTCTGCTGCATATAGTCACTGATAGCTATCCTTCACAAAGTAAAGATAGCGTAACTGTTAGTGTTGGTAAGTTTTAATTTTTCGTATCTTTTCGTCTATAAAAGATTTTATATTAAAATTCTTCAATTCTATATATATTTAATATTATTCACCTAAAAGAAAGCCCCAATCCAGACGCAACTAAAAAGGTCGATTCACTGGCGGATGATAATAGTGACTTCTTTGAACAATTTAGGCAAAATAACCAAAATA